TCAATTCACCCCCCCCCCCCCTCGAATTGATTTCTCAATACAGACCCCCCCTCCCGCCCCCTTGGAATTGATTTTTCAATACAGACACCCCCCCCCTCCCCCCCCACAAAATCAATTCTCTCCTGGAGAACGTCTTCGTGAGCCTCTCATGATTTCAGGATAGTTGAAACATGTTGAAACCCTCTTGAACATTCAGAAAGAGTGCAAATGAAATTCTAATCACGAAAGGTGTTCCCCGAGGGGATACATACCTAGAGTTCGTTTTGTGAAGCACGTCAGTTCTCTCCTGGGGAACGTCTTCGTGAGCCTCTTATGGTTTCAGGATAGTTCAAATCCTATGATGCTCCGATTCAATTCCGATTCAATGCTTACCGATGATCTGAGCCATGGGGCAAGTTTGTTTTCCTAAGAATCTTTTTGAACATTTCGAGAGCATATGTTTGAACATTTAGAGTGCATATGAAATTATATTTACGAAAGGTCGCCTCCGAGGGGATAAATCACCATGTCGAACATTGCATGTTTGTTCCTGTCTCTCGCGTTCTCTTCTCTTCCCGCTGTCCTACCTTTCGTGTCTCCCTCCTCTCAAGTTGATGTATAATATATGCAAGTTCCATGCTTCATGTCCCCGCCATGTGGAGCTGCATATGAGGCTCGCCGTCCTTGACCAGTGCCACTGAGCTTCCTAGTAAGGAACCTCAGATTTGCTGGGCTGTGCTTAGCAGACGGTCCATGCATCGAGGAGAAATGCAAGCATGTTTGGTCTACAGTGAGTTCATAAGAGATGGCACATGATGGCTCCACTCCCAAGTGATCCAGGACCCATCCTGACTTGCTGTGTTTCTACGAAAACGGACGGCGTTTTCACCGGGTCCTAGAGGACCGCACGGAAGAAGGCAAGACGTCACCGGTCCCACGAATTGTTGTTTTGGTTGCTCATATATTAGTGATATTATTGAGCTCATATTGTAAAGGGGGGGTATCGGATGGTCGCAATCCCCGCTCAAGCATCCATTTGGGGGTTTTGTTTGCTATTGTCTGCGTTTTTTTTAAAGTTAACCCTAGGATACCCTAGGTAAATGTGCTTGTCGTAATATCAGATTCCAAAGCTGACTTTCCCCAAATTGAGGGAGGTGATAGAGGTTTAATGAGGTTTAGGATGGTTTAGGGATGTTTAGGCGTACTTGTATCCCATTGTACCCCTATATATCATGAATCCAACAATGTGCTTTTGGCAAGACTTGGAGACTTTCCAATGCCGCAATGGGCAGTCGTGAAACTCTACTCTACTGTACATTTGCATGACCTTGAACTCCAGTCGCTTTTGGAGGCCATGCTTTGCAATACTATACCGTCTTCCAACGGCAGTTGCTATACTTGCCATGCCATGACTCATGACTCCTGGTTTCTTCTCGTACCTTCCGAGGCAAAGACAGCCCCACCCACACGGCCTCCGGCCGCCGCGCCAGCGACGCCCGCCGCGCCAGCAACGCCGGACCCGGCGAGTCGCCGACGGCGCACCGCGCGCCGTCGGGGCCGCGGCGGCGGGCCTCGCGCTTGAGTGCCTTGGAGCTCACGGTGATGGGGTTCGGATACCGGAGGATGAGACCCATCGACCTCGGAGCCGACGCCCATCCTCCGTGTCCGTGTCCGGTCCGTTTCGGGGCAGGTGCCGTGAGCGGCGAAAGCGCCGGGAGCCGCGTGAGCTCGGTGGACCCCCTCAGCTTCGAGGCGGAACGTGGGGCACGCGCGCCTCGGTCGGGCGGCTTCTTGTTCAGAGGCGGACGACACTCCCTGGAACTAACATGGTTACGTGGATGGCATGGCCCCGTGGTTTTCCACTTTCCAAGTTCCATGGAGAGTACTTCATATGCATGGTAGACTCTTGATTGATTAATACCCCCCCCATATGAGGAGGTCCAATTCAATTGGAGGGTTCATTAATCAAGAGTCTACATCAGGTCAGGCTCCGTTTTCGTGATGGCGCCATAGACTGGGTTTATCAAGCAAGCGCCATTTCTGAATGAGACCTTTGGCCACCGGAGACTGGATTGATGCGGTCACGTTTCATCTTTGTTCCTCAGAAGTAGCTGAACAAACAAAGCAATGAGAACGAACCACCTTCGAGGTGGAAAGTTCTTGTGTCGCCACCAGGAGATCTTGCGGAAGAGGTGCCGGAAGGGACCTGGGTGAGGTCTTTGGCCTGCAACTTGCATGAAGACTTATTATCTTGTGCCTAGTAGCGATGGCCTCCAACCTAAGAATGATGGCCTCCACCCTAGGCATTTCTTGTATTTTAGCTCATCATTCTTGGGATTTCTTGGTGCTTCCTTTGTGATTGGTGAGTTTGGGTTCGATCAGTTTTGCTTCAGATACCAAGCTCATCGACTCAGAGTGGTCACCACCTGAACCGATCGACAGTCACTTCATCATATGCCAGGGTGACCTGAAGAAGCATACATACCAGCACCACAAGCATTGACTGTAAGTGACTGTATATATATATATATCTTGTTTCATGCCGTTTTGAGACTGATGGAGATACCCCATCCAATAGCTGCTGGCATAGACACCAACGAAAATACACCATTATGGTCTCCTCAATGTGTTTACCTTGAGCCACTGCAGATGGATGTTGGGTCGCCCAGTGGTGGGATGTTTAGGGTTTAGGGTTGAGGTTGCCACCCTCACAAGAATTCCTCCAAGCGGGGTGGAGAACTTGGGCTGTAACAAGTGGAGAAAAAGAACATGAACTTGGGCGTCTGCTGGGACCAGTCAACAGTGTCATGTTCTTTTCTTGGTAAACATGTTGTAACCTGGTACAACCGTGACCATGTAGAACCACTCAACACCAAAGCAAGCGCTGCGGGGATCGTCTTCAGGGCCATCCTCAGACGGCCAGGCCAACCCTGCAAGATGACAGCCGCAGCGAACATGGAGGCTGGGATGGAGAACTTTTGGAAGAAGCCGCGGAAAATTTGCCAGACCTTCTGAAGGTGAAGTTGGGGTTTGCCAGTTGGGTCTAGAACATCTTAGTGACATCTCTCAGAAGCTGCGGAGTTTGCCCCGTTGATCCTTGGATTCGTGCCCCACCCACTGGCCTCACAGCGCGCGCAAGCCTTGATCCTGACGCTTGCGCCCCGCAGGGAAGAGCGATGCAACGCCCCGCCTGAAGGTCGGTCGGTGGGTCGGATCAGCGTGGCAAATCCAGCAAGTTCATCATGGAAACCAGCAGAAAAGATCCACTTCTTAATGTCATGATGTGAATGAACACCAGAAAGTTTATTTTCTTTTGTTGACCGTGGGGTGTAAATATGGTACCGACCGCAGCTTGTGGTTCGGTGTGATTTAGAATGATTTAGACTTTGTGACGTCTCTATCGGTGTTTTGTTGAAACAAGTGGGAAAAGCATGATGAATCGGACTCTCAAAGACGGTTTTCTTTTTATTGCTCTGATCTGCTTTGGCAACAGAGACCCAAATTCCGATCACCGGGTTTCACACTATTCCAGATCGCAAGTAAGATGGTCATATACGTAAGTTTGGATGAGCGTGATTTACTTTTGATAAAACTGACAAACTCTACCAACACCTTCCAACAGGCTGTTTGAAGACAGGTGGTTTCTGGGCACCGGACTTGTCACCAGGAAAGACCTGTTGGAAGGTCCAGGTATATTGGTAGACTGAGATGAGGTGGCCAAAAGATTGGGTGCTCACATGTTTGACCAGTGCGCCAGTGAGAGCTAGCAGGGGGAGTGATGGAGCAGATCAGCGCAGGAACAGATAGTAGATGATAGTAGGAAAGACCCCATTTTTGCAGGATCGCTCTAGGCTGGACAGCTCACTTTAGACTGGACAACAGCGGCAACTTCTGAACCTCAGGGGGTGTTCACACAGCTTAGATCGATGCGCGGAGCTTGAGACCCGCACCGAGCATGGGCGAAGCCCGCACCGAGTCTCGGGCCCCCTGCGGAACCGGAGCACGGCCACATCCACCACGCATGTCCGGCGTTTTTCGCCGATCATATATCCGAACCCCTGTTCGGACGTGCGTCAGAGCATCATGACCAGGTGGTGGTTGTTCAAATAACCTGGAAATTCCTACAGTCCTTCATCTGTCAAAGCTTCCCAACGTGTCGGATGCTGGTGATCGTTATCTCCGCCCCATGCCCCCGACTGGAGGACATGATGACAGCGCGTAGCTCAAGGAGATTGACCTGGAGAAACGCAGGGAGACTGGGCAGTTGCTCCCAAAAAGGGTCCATACACGGATTTGCACCGGAGGAAGAGCATTCGAGAAGAGTCTAGGCATTTGCCCCTGCGGCTGTGTTTTTTCGAGGCTCAGGAAGAACATGGACCAGGGGCCTCTTCAAATGCGCTCCCTATGAAACACTGGATTTTCGCTCATGAGCCTCCCCCCCCATGGCTGCTGGGTCCCATGCCCTTTGGTCCCATTGGTCCATGCAGGACTCGGCACATCCACCCTGTCTCCCTCGGACGCGAGTTCCGCAGGTTGGCACGGGAGGTGCCCTGGACGGCCGAGAAGGCCTTGGCCTCGCTGATGATCTTCCAGGGCTGCCGCGAGGCGGACTGGACTGAGCACCGGAGGAAGAGCACGTGTTGGACGTGTGTGTGTGTGGCTTGTTTTTGGTACGTTAGTAGGGCGGAAGGAACATGGTGGAACTGTGGAAGGATCAGTGTGTGGCTGCGACGGATGGTGTATCGCATGTTGTTTTTGGAGATAGAGACTCGAGACCCTGTTTTTTGAAGAGGAAGTCACAAAATAGGTCATGCAGATATGCATTCACTTCACCCTCTTTGTTTGTTTAGTTTGTAACATATTGGACCTTGGAAGATTAATTAGACTACTGGACTGTGCGTACTCGTAACTTCTACAAACCAATGGTGGGATATGGGTACCAAACCTGTCAAAGCGACCTGATACCTTTATGGTGGAGCCCCGCCTTTGCAACACAGAGATCTATATTTAGGGCGGCATACGATATATACAATATAGGAATGATATGTTAGTATTGTGTTCAACCGTTTTATGAATGGCTCGTGTCTCCCAAATCCTTTCATTTGTTGAAACCTTTGTGGTTGCACAAGTTGTATTGCTTTGTTTTTATCATTGCAGTTATAATACTAGTTTTGTTGTTAGTTTAAAGCTGTAAGTTGTGGTTACTCGTACAAGTTATACTGCCGTTTCATTGTTGGGAATCAAGTCGGATCCCATTGACTGGTTGGGCTTGTTGATTCTGCCCTGCTCAGAACTTCATCAACTACCTCGCGGCTGGCGGCGAGCACGTGATGTTGAAGCCAGGCCAGGCAGACTGCCAAAAGCCACAAGAGACTTGTGGATCCGGTAAATTCTTGGTTTCGTCTTCGGGGGGAAGTTAAGACACAAGATCTTCAGTAGAGTTGAGCACCCAGAAAAAAAAAAAAAAACAATCGTACGACCACATGCAAACCAAACATAGCGTCTGCATACGTCCGCCACCTTTGATGTTGGCTCAAAAAGAAACGATCCCGTTCGTCAATCCCGTTCGTCGCGTACGTCAAACCACAGACGGAACCGCTTCACGACGGTCCGCGGCGACGTCCGCTGCCAGGGGAGTTTCGAGACTTGCGAGGTTGGAGCGGAGCGGTTTCGGTGCTGGCTGCGGTGCTTGAAACGGTGCGACGTGGCGGTGCTGAAAAGCGAAGGTTACGGACTGACACTTTGAATGGAAAGCCTCAAAACGACGGAGGATTCAATTCATCAGTGTTGATGTTGGAAGAATATGCTAATAATTTCAGGGAAGATCCAACACAGCGTTTGAATGCTTTTGATGGCTTTTGACACGCAGACAACTAACTACAATCTTAATTGATTTCTGAAGAGTATATAAGTATATACAGGGCTGACGTGTTCCCCGATAAACTCGCCGTTTGGAAAAGGACGACCTTCTAGCAGTCCCCACTCGAAGTTATAGAAGCAAAACCATGCCAGGAGCCCATCAGGGTGCTGTTTTGCACAAAAACCACCGGTAGCATAAGGAAAACTACTAAATATATATACTTCATCTTAGGTTCTAAAGGCCAGAAACCAGTTGGAGCAGCTTGGAACCCGAAAACCCGCAGAAGTCACGGTCCAGCCCCACCTGGTCCAGCACCACCGACTCATCGTTCTCGTTCTCCGAACGCTTTGGAGGTCAAAAGTCTGGGCCTGGAGAGGCTTTGGACGGTGTCGAAAAAGCTCAGTTGTCATTTCAAGCGCCTCCAGGGCGTCTTTGTTAGAGGCGTTAGATTATGTTAGGCCCATGTGTTTCCCAAGAGAGTGCCTATGGAAACCCAGATGGCTCCCAATCTTTCACTGTAAGATCCCTGAGAAAGCTGGCAAAATCCCAGAGAAAATGTTCAGCGCTCTTGTTTTTTGGGTCACAGAATCAAAAAGAGCAAGACTGTACCCAGCATTTTGGGTGGTAGTGGTGTGGGTTGCCTTGGGTAATTTAAGGTGAATGTTGGAGTTTGATTAGGTTTTTTGCGGGTTGTCTATGGGCCTGATGGTTTCCCACACTAAACCCACCAAACAAACCCAACCAAATCCCAAAAATGGGCTGGGACCAGAAATTAAAATCCAATTGACACCAACCTCACCCCAAGCAAATCCCAAAAATGGGCTGGTGTCCAAAATATAACCCAATTGTTTTCAACTATTCTTACAGGGTTTCATGGTGTATTTTAGTGGAATTTTTGTGGAGTCATGGTTTCAGTCAGTCAAAAGCCAACAAGCAGACTCCACAAGCCACCCTGGATCCAGTTGGGTCGCATGTGTTCTACATCCACACCCCGAATCACCTCTAAGGGGCTATCAATAGACACCCCTTAGGGTGTCCTGGTTTGTGTGTGTGTGTTTTATTGTTTTCTATGGATGTATGAACAAGCGTAGACATGACACACATTCGACCCACGTGTTGATTTTGACTAGGCCATTGTACAAGCTGGAAGAGGTGAGCAAAGTGACCTGCTTGTACTAGACGAGCACCAAAATGTTGTTGTTTTTTTTTTTTTAATAGGTCACTTTGATCATCCCGCTTTGCAAAATATGGTTTTTGATGTCCTTTTTTTTGTATCTATAGTGAACCTAGGAGTTTAGCTTGATGAACCCTAGGGCAATATGTTTTTTTTGGTTGTGTGTGTTAGATTATATTGATTTGGATGCATTTGGAGGTGAGCCAATCAGATTGTTGCTTTGGTCCGGACTTTGGGTCGGCGACACTGCAGATCGGTAACGAAATTTGGTGTTTTCGTGCCATTTGCTCATGCCTCACTCTGCAACGGATTGGTGCCGCGCCAGGGCCAGTCGGCCACAGCGGTGATCGTGCTCAGCGGGACCTTTCGCCGCTCGGTTCGGTGCGTGTCCCTGACAGCCTCGCGGCGGCGAACCCGCAGGACGGGTCGGAAACCCCGTCACCAACGGACCACCTTGCAGCACCCAAACCCTTTTGCAGGGGAAGTTGCAAGAAACTCCAGTTGAGGTGAAGTTGTCCAGATCCGTAATGATCATCATGTCCATAATATATATATATATCAATATCAGAATGGCTTTACATCTCCATATATATATGGGGGTTTCTATTGGATGTTGGAAAACAGTCTACATGAAGTGGTGTCCTTCTACGCGATTGGTGGTGCCCTCTCAGAACCGAGAACGAGAAGATCATTCACTTATCCACCTGGGGGTCCATTGGTGGGTTGTTCTTCCTAACTGGGCTGGTGGAAACATTGAAGGAAATCTCCGAGCTCCTCCTGCAGCTACTCTCGAAGTTCCCCAGACATTGGCGACCACAATTGGATGGGCTCAGTCAAACTGCAGAGATGATGACAGAGATAATTGTGTGAGCGAGCCTGAAGATTGCCGCCGCTCCACCTTCCAGGAATTGTTACAAGGTCAACTAGCCAACCAGTCTCAGACAACTTAAGTGATGAAAGAAGCACAGTGAGTCCCAAGAACCAGTGAATTTCAGGGTCCAGAAGACTTATGAAGAAGCACGAGGTGCAAAAGAAGCATTGTTTGTGCAACAAGCTATCTCCTATCTCAGCATATTTCCATATCTCATCAACCTATCAGGTTCTTTTTCCTGACCGCCGCCTTTAAGGTGTGGAAATCTCCGGAGTGCTGGCAGAAGAGCTCAACGTGGGGCAGGCCGATTCGCGCGAAGAAATATGGGGCCGGTCAAGCATGTCTCGAAGTGTAGCCAGTGAGGTCCGCGTATGCGAGGCCACTCCCCAGGTGTCTCGAAGCCGGTCTCGAGCGTTGGATGGACGAAATTCCCAGCTGATCACATGGATTCGGCCAGTTCTCATGGCTCCGGAGAGGTTTGCTCGGATCTTACAGCTCCAAGAGCCACCGGATCTTCCTCCCCGAACCCGGTGAGGTAGTCGCTTCGGAACGCAGAAAAACGATCGCTTCGGAACGCGGCAATGTGATCGCTTCGGAACGCGTGTCATCGCTAGTAGGTTGGAAGCCATCGCTACTACTATGGAGGCCACCCACCCCCACCCCCCACCACCCACCCCATCCCCATCCTTCATCTTTAAACCCTCCCCACATCCGTGTCTGTGTGTGTGTGTTCTAAAGTGACCCAAAAAACCAGGTGTGTTGTGTTCCAAAGTGATCTCGCTTGTTTTTTACCATTCCATGGTTTTGGGTTGTTTTATGTTCCAAAGTGACACATCTTTTGTGTTCCTAAGTGACTCTCCCACCCCCGAGCCCCCCCATGCGCGGGAACCGTTCCCCGCACGCGCGGGAACCCGTTCCGCGAGGCCTTCGGTTTCGCGGACGTTTTGGCAGCAGGTGTGCCTTTCTGGGTGCGATTGTCGGGTGAGTTGAAGTGAATGGGTGAATGGAGCTGCAACGTTGCAGCTTCATGGTGGAGAGATTTTGAGGAGCTGGTTGATGGATGCTGATGGTGGGTACGTAGATGAGGTCCAGGGAATAATTTGGTTTGTTCTACTCTCAGCTGTTGTTGTTGGTTTCCCATGCCCACTCGGACATCAAGCGCAAGAGGAATAGGTGGACAACAACCAAACATTGAATGAATGATATAAGTATGAGATTCATTAAGAATGTGTCGAGGAAGGGTCATCTCTGTGGCGAGTCACTTCTTAATAGGCATACGTCTCGCTTGGTGAACAACTGCAGATGTTGTTCCCTGGAGACTAGTTTTGTTCATGTAGCATTGTTACACTGTTACACCTCCCAGAACATGGACGATTGTTCCGTTTTGCTTGAAAACGCGGCTCTCAGAAGTCTGCCGCTCTTTTCCCCGGGAGAGCTCTCCAGGTTTGGAAAGCTACACCCAAAATCGGGGCGCTGGTGGCACACGAGCAGTAGCCCGAAATGCCCAGCTGTTGGGGCCAACGGTGGGTTGGACTGGGAGCTCCGGACTGGGAAGGGAAGAGAACCGATGTACCAACTGGCAAGGGGCCCCAAACTCCCACCAGCACGGCTTCAACCTTTTGTGAGGGAGCCGAGCTAGTAGCGGAGCTCTACTGGTGACACATGATGTTGACACAGCTGGGTTGGAATCTTGCATCGGACGGCAGGGAATCATGCTCACTTGAGGTCACTGGAGCATGTGTTCAATTATCCTGTGTCATCCCCCCAGGTTCAGTGTCATCCCCCCAGGTTCAGTGTCTATCCCCAAACCACGACCTGGGCGACAAAAAGAGTGGGGCTGGTGGTAGCTTTGTTCGACATGCGGCCGCACGTGGTGTAGTGCAGAAAGATCATTGCGTCAACTCTACCGGCAGGTCCTACGTGTCCTAACATAGTACAACACTCCAAGTCCACAGGATATCTTGTTGAAACCATCCCAGATTCGGTTGAAGGGAAAATCCACTGAACACATCTGAACACACAAACGTCGTTGCAGCAACAAGACAGTACAGTCGCCCAGGTCTCCCTCCGAGCCACAGCAAAGGCTGAGGTGCCCGGTTGACCAGCGAGCAGAGGGGGGTGTCCCGCCGATCGGACTTGGGAGAGCACCTGGATGCAGGGAATTCCTGATTCAGATCAGGAAGTGAACTGCCATCCTGCCATCATCCTGCCATCCCCATGGAACACCAGTTCTTCATTTTTTTCGGTACCCTGGATCCATCGGCGCCCAAGCCCAGCAAATCGCCAAGCCCAGCAGGTAGGTCTCCAGCTTCAAGAGCAGGAAAAACAAGGCACCTCATCTCACATGGTTGGCATCTCATCTCAGCCGACCATGCCGTCGTGGTACCGTCTCCAGGCGTTCCCTCATTCCGGAAGGGGCAGTAGCATGATCCGACCACCGACCAGCGCCTTGGGATGACTCTACTGGCTGGGCAGTGGGTGTCTTCACACGGTCTAGAGTCTAGAGATGGTAGAGACCAGAAACTGCAGAGTCTGACAGATGCCTTCGGAAATGTCGGAAATGGGACATCACATGTTTACGATCCCCTTAGACCCAGAGAGAAATGGCTCCACTGAAAATGAACAGATTCCTCTATCTATTTGGTGGTTGTGGTTTTGACCCATGCACTGCCAAATAGTATGTACAAAACTGGCGGACAGTTTGCGTCAACGTTTCAGCCAGAGCTCACCCAGAGCGGGACCTGGGCATAGCAGACAGGCGACCCATGCTGAGCAGATAGATGAGACAGCAGCCGTGGAGATCCCCGATAGTTGATCATGTTCAAACACCCAGACAGGACACTCCATGTATGCCATATATGCCTACATTGGGGTGGTTGCATGTACTACCGCAAACGTCTCTAGTGCTGCAAGGCGAACACGTAGATGTTTGCAGCAGACTGGAAACCCACATTGCTTCTCAGAGCATCGTTTGGAATTCAATCCCTGACCCAGACACAGCAAACACCAATTGTTTGTTGCCTGCCCTTGTTTGGCGTGAAACAAACACACTTAGTCTGGTTGAAACACAAAACAATCGGCTGGGCACCTGGTGAAAAGACTACAAGATCTACAAGCGAAAGCCCACTTTTTCACCTTCCATCCAAGGCTGCTTTTTGATCCGCGCCACCTTGCTGCGCCGGGCCTTGCAAGAGTACCCCGCAGCACAGGCGGCGCACGTGGGGTGGGGGTGCTGGGGTGGGTATCGTCCTATTCCGCACGAGGCTGGAGGCTGGAGGTCCTGTGATTTGGACTTTCGGACAAGTTCCCCGAGTTCTGATTTGGACTGCGACGTAGGGCGTCAGGAGTTCCCCGTCAGGACGTCCTCCACGTTCCGGCCGGAAGGACACATTGTCTTCTCGACGAGCCTTTCAGGGTTGTTTGGCAAACTGGCAGATTCCCACCAAGTAGGGCGCTAATGAACATTATCCTTAAGGGAGGAGAAGCCAAGGATCGAAAAAGAGCAGGCTCGCCGCCTGTACTCGATTCTTGTCAACGTGTAAGACATAGCTTTGTTATATTTTTGCATGACTTTGCTGATGGTTTGTCTCCATGGTAATCACAATCTATTCTTGGATGAAAGAACTCATCCAATGTGCTTCTGAGTCTCAATGAAGTAAAGATCAGAAGCACACAGATTGAGCCCCAGCTCCATCACTCCTGCAGGCCCCACTGGTGCAGTCAGTGGGCAGTCACTTGAGTTTTCCCACTCAAACTCAAAGGGTGGAGCTTTCCAGAGAAACTGATGGAAACATCACAAGTCCACTGGAAAACCATGGATTCAGTTGGGCTCAAAACGCCCGAGCAACTTGCTGTAAAACACATGAGGTGTCCCGCTGCAAGTCGTGTCGGATCATGGGGGGCCTACTGTGGGGGCTACTCCAGATGTGATTCGCCGTGGATGTGATGGTTTTGCCACATGGAGGGGGTGACGTTCGGAGGGGGTTACCTTAACTTTAAATATCCTTTAATAGGGGTTTCCCTAAAACCCTGAATCATTCGGTCGACCTTCGCTACTCCCATCCCATCCATTTTGCCCAACAGACCTCCCGCGTGCCCTCGCTCGCCGCTCTTTTGGCCGCCAGACCGTCTCACCCTGCAGATGTTCTGCAGATTGGATCATGTTCAGACGCCGAACAGATCTAAACAGCTCTTAGGACCCGAACAGACCTGAACAGGTGGTTTGGCACTTCTTCTCACCATGAAACATGAAACACCTGTAGAGAGGAGTCTGTAGAATATAGAACTTGCTGCAGAGACCATTGAAACTGTGAGGGAAACTGAAAGCCCGAAAGGCTCAGCTATATATAAGCTAATCACAATAGACATGTTGAGATTGGTTAGGGCTTCGTCTCACACGGGAACTTCCTGGCCCAACAATGAGCCACTGCTTATCCAAGATGAGATCCCACAGTTAGAAGCCCTGATCAGGCTTGGGCCCAGTAGGGGGCCCAGTAGTGGGCCCAGTGCCTCGTTGCTATTGAAAGTATTTCTGAATCAAGCCCAAAGAATATCCCCAACAACACAATCCCACATGCTTTGCTATGCTCACAAGAGTGTCCTCTGTGCAAGTGTGAAGTCTGGCAGCATTTAGGGACTTTGCACCGTGACCCACTTATTTAATGGACACAAGGTTGGGTGATGGAAAAGCTGTCCAAGTTAGATCTGGCGTTGACGTGAACGTCGAACACACGCCATTCGAGGGTAGGAGGGTAGGAGGATAAAGATGTTAGGAGAGTAGGAGGGTAGCAGAGGAGGAGGGTAGGAGGGGAAGAGGGCAAGAGGATAGGAGGGTAGGAAGGCAAGGTAAGCGAAGGATAGCTTTCACAGGCTCTCGGAGCACAATAGAATACAGAATACTGTACACTTCTTAGTGGATCGTAGATTGGAAAGAAAAGACAAGACACGCTATGTTTTGCAATGTGTTGTATAATGTTGTCGCTGCTGCTGATGACAAAACAAGCTTGGTAAAACGCGTGTTGCGGAGGATTGCGAAATATAGAACACTAGCTAGAATCAGTTTAATCTAAGATGTGCACATGCACCTTACAAAGCCCTAGGCTTCCAGAAACTGTCCGTTGTAGATCTCTCAACCTTTGCAGTTTACAGAGAAGAGATATGAATTCAGGGCCCAGAAGTGCAGGTAGCAGGGCACGAGTGTAGCAGTGTAAGCAATCCATTACAGCAAGGGTTGGGAATGGACACTTTGTTGGTCAATGGTAACCATTTCCACAAAGGAAGATACAAAAGAAAGAACATAAAGAACCTACATATATATATATATACATCATATGAGCATGAGATAGCTTGAGGTATCATGAGGTACCCTTGGGCCCTTGGCCACCCGCTTCGCGGGCCCGATGATGGATTCGGGGCCCGAAAGTGGAGGAGAGGAGGAGGGTAGGAGGATAAGACAGCCCGAACCATTCAACGGATTCAGCCTTGGATGGGTAGAGGCATGGAGCCAGCCGAAAACCTTTCACATAGTCACAGCACATCTTTCGGCTCACACACAGAAATCGGGACACTAAGCAAAACAAAATGGATATGGGACTGTGTCACGTCAGCATTTCATGTTCGATCAAGTCGCTGGAGGACCTTGAAGAGCTTCAGCTTATGTTTGTGACTTTTGGACGGCCGGACTAAAACGTTTCCTGTGACGTCCATCGATTTTTGTGAGTCTTCCAATGATGGTACCATGTTGTACCCACAGGCTCCACAGCAACAGCAGCGAAGTTTGCAGCTGAACAACTTCGGAACCTTGGGAAGCTTTGGGATTTGCGGGAATGTTGGACACCTTGGTCGCAAGCTTGAATGGAACCTTGGAAACAGTGGGGGGGATGTTTGGAACCTTCAACAGCCTTAGGAACCGAACGTAAAACGTAAGGGAACCTTGTAGGATCTTAAACACCTTGGGAACATACACGTTGGGAACCTTGGGACCTGCGAAACCTGGCAGCCGCAACTTACAACTTACCTTGCAAAAACCGTGGAAGATTCTGGGAAGATTGGGAACCTTTGGAATGGTCCCTAGGACCTTTGGATGTACAAACCTTGATGGTCCTCCTTGGAATCTGTGCTTGGGAACCTTGCCACCTCCTTGGAAAACGTGGGAACCGTGGGAACGGCACTGTGGGAGACTTTGGAACCGGAAAACATGGGTTTTGGAGCTGCTCCTATGGCTGAAGACACCAAAGCATTCGGCTATTGGCAATTGGTTAAAACACATACAATCCAAATACAATCCAAAGTTTTCACAAAACTGCTGCTGTGTTTAGACGTTGCAGCTTTGCCAATGCCGCTTCGCTTTTGGAGATGCAGCCCCAGCTGCGGCCCGCGCTGCCCATGCTGCTTCCGGCCCACCCCCGCCACGCTGCAGCGCGGGCGGACCACGACCATCGAGGCCATCGCCATGCACGAGACGGTGAGCCCCGCTCGCTGGTGTGCCACTGAGCGAGACGGAAGAGGGGGGTGTTGGGCGGCGGCCCTAGAGTAGGGGGAAAGAGAGAAGGTAGGGATTTTTTATGCAATGGACCTAGTGCATTTGTTGCTATGTGTGATGATGGGTGCAAGAAAAATAAGGGGGCTCCCTTTTTTTTGACCCGCGCACCCTTTTTTTCTGACCCCCCCTTTTTTTCTGACCCACAACCCTTCTTTTCTGACCCACAACCCTTCTTTTCTGACCCACGACCCTTCTTTTCTGACCCACGACCCTTCTTTTCTGACCCACAACCCTTCTTTTCTGACCCACAACTCTTCTTTTCTGACCCACAACCCTTCTTTTCTGACCCACAACCCTTCTTTTTTGACTCCCCAGCATTCCGTGACAATCCTTTTTTTCTGACCCACAAACCTTTTTTTCTGACCCCCGCAACCCTTCTTTTCTGACCCCCGCATCCTTCTTTTCTGACCCGCAACACGTCTTTTCTGACCCACAACTCTTCTTTTCTGACCCACAAACCTTTTTTTCCGACCCTTGCAACCCTTCTTTTCTGACCCCCACACCCTTCTTTTCTGACCCACAACCCTTCTTTTCTGACCCACAAACCTTCTTTTCTGACCCACGACCCTTCTTTTCTAACCCACAACCCTTCTTTTCTTCACAGCCCGTGTTGCGTGACCTCATACACCCCGGGTACGCTCTACCGAGAGGAAACAAATTCTTTCTCCTTCTGCGCCCCTCTCTTCTTCATCTGAATGACGGTGCTGTCCGTGTAAGCCAATACTTTCACAAGCCCTTTTTTTTCTGACCCCCGCACTCTTCTTTCTCACCCACAACCCTTCTTTTCTGACCCACAATCCTTCTTTCCTGACCCACAAACCTTTTTTTCTGACCCCCGCAACCCTTCTTTTCTGACCCACGACCCTTCTTTTCTGACCCACAACCCTTTTTTTCTGACCCACAACCCTTCTTTTCTGACCCACAACCCTTCTTTTCTGACCCACAACCCCTCTTTTCTGACCCACAATCCTTTTCTTCTGACCCCCGCAACCCTTCCAGCTTGACCAATGAACCTTTCTTTCGGACCACCAAGCCTCTTTTTTCGACCCACGGCGCCGTTGTCTTTGACCCCGCAAAACTGGTTGTTTGACCCACATGTTGCGTGTGTCGTGATGACAAGAGGAGGGTGCAGCTTTTTGACAGGGCATCAGGATAATGACGGCTTGCCGCTTGCCTGTGAGAAAAACCAGAAACGGCAAAAGTGGTGCTTTCTTGATGCGAGCTTTACCCTGGTACACCCCAACCCCCAATCAACAGGGATCCTCTGGGCGGCGGTGAGACACCGCTGTTCGCGTTCTTCTTTGCATCCGAACGTGGCGCGCGGAACAACAGGCACCTTTGGTTCGGACAGGGTCAGACGTTGACTGATGCTTTGGCAGGGCAAGCAGTTGTGGCCGAAAAATGCAAATAGGCCTGCGAGTAACAGTCGGTAGCCTCTATCACTCACTATGATAGGAAATAGAATACACTCAACACACAGACACTTCAGCATACTTTGAGTCTTCTTTCTTGCCGACTGTTCTCTGCCCATGGAACTGGAAGTGCTGAGCGTGGACGGCGCCAATCCAGACCAGGTACGCAGAAGCGTTGTGTTCACTGAAGACGGTCTTGTGCCAGCATGGAAGGGGTTCGTGCGCGAGACCCGAGCCGGGACGTCGTAGGTTTGTGGGTAAATAAAGCTGCATCAGACTTCGGCCATCTCACGCAGGTTCTGTCCATTCGAGCCGGCAGTCAACGGAAGCGTGTCGTCGTCGGCTACTTCAAGAAGGCGCGCGCAAAGAGAATGAATGTCTGTGGAAGTACTTGATGGCAGTGGAGTGTTCATGCAGGTTGCAGTTCGTGAGTCGCGAATTGTGACCGTTGATGCGTACTCGCAGGGGGCGCCCTTCCGTCTCGACCCCTCGCATGGGGTGAGCCCTTTCCACATCGACATCCTGCAGCAGGCGTGGTGTAGGGGGTAGTGGGCAAAAGGACGTCCGCAGTTGGCAGCGCACGCTGTTTTGTTTGGGCAGCATGTGAGCATCCGCATGTCACAGTGTTGAAACAACAGACATAGTCAGCTGGGCTGGGCGCGAGAATTTTTGTGGTTGTTCACCGTGACAAACACTGGCTTGTGCAGATTGGCTCGGAACGCTTTGCTCAGCAACCAGAGGAAGGTGCAGACAGGGAGAAATGCGTCAAGAAGACAAGAGAGACACTGTTGTGAGAGATTCCCTAGCATCAACCAAAGCTTGCCCTTGTCTTAATTCCATGTCGCCGAGTAAGTATGAGCTTAGGACAGAGGAGACCACCGATGTCCAGTTGATAGTTTGGCATGTTGCGACTAACCGCGACGACTACGACGACGACCACAACGACGACGACTACTAGTAATACTACTATATACTATAGTACCACTGCCATTACCACTACCACTACCACTACTACTACTACTACTACT